AGTACCGATCAACAGCTAGAGAACGAAGCATCGATGCCTACTCGTCATACCCACGCATGCATCAACCGATTGCATTTCGCCAGAAACGAATGATGAATTCTACAAGGATCTGTATTTGAAGTATCAGATCCGTACGGCGTTCGGAATGTATTGAAAAGGATCTCTCTCAACTGTTCCGAAGTTCTCGGTCAACGGAGATCCTAGTAATCGCTGGATACTTCAGTGCTCCAGCAGGATTCTTGATTGATTCAGAAAGGCTTCTTGGCGGTTCACATGCAATCACAGCTAACCGGACGGACAACAGAATGCCTAGTTCGATTTTTGCCCTGACCACGAACTTTCCCTGTCATGCACCAACTTCGTGCCCAAGAAACGACACCCCTTACATGAAGACTGCCCTCCTCTTCACAGCCATGGCCGCAAAACGACCACATCGCCATCAGCCTCCGCTGACAAGGCTCCATTGAAGACTGCCGCTCCTACGGATCAACACCGGTAGACATAGACCATGCTCTGCTACGAGCCAGATTCCCCCTACACCTGGTAAACAACTGCAGAAAAACCACCAGTGTATGCAATACTTACAGATCAGCCTTCGAAGCATAACTCTCTGATCGCCGTTCAGTTCAAAAACCCGCCCAAGGATTCAATGAACATTGAATAGTAATCAAGGAAGCGATCCTAAAGTACTTGATTTTAAAACAGCCCTGTTCTCGTGCGAAGTTAGCGGCATCGATTTGCTCCTAGGTGAAAGGCAATATGATCCGGAGTATGCAAAAGGCATTCTGCTGGTAAGTGAAGATCCAGGTAATTTGCAATCTTTTCTGGATAGTTTGAGTGCTATTTTAGCCCTGTTCGGCGCCGTCGCGACATTCGACTGTCTGTGAAAACGTCGCGTGTACGCTGCAACAGTTCGGCCAGTGATGCTTTGCGGTGCAAGGACTTGACCATTACGAAAACTGGACAAATGTACACTGTCGGTGTTTGAACACCACTGTCCACGACGCATTTCATAGGGATTGCGGGGAACCCGGACAGTCGGTGCTGAGGTTATATACAGAATTTTAGTTTATCACGGTCGTCCACTGGACCAAGTGATCGATCTCCATAGACTGCGGTGGTTGGGGAGTGTCACGCATGTCACCACATAGGTCCATCGGCTTGTCATACAAGGGAGATGCTATAAAGGAACTGTTAGTCAGTCTATGTAGAGGAATATGAAAAACACTTACCACTGCCAACTTACGCGCTTTTTCGAGAAGCTTCTGTGATCCAGACTCGATACAAGGATAAACTGTCCCTGGTAGCCTTATCATGGGTTGTTTATTACTTTAGATGCTTTTGTATTGATTGAATGGCTCGCAACTATTTACACGGATAAAAGAGCATTACTCGCTAGGATGAACTGGCTCAATTAACAGGCTTCGGGAAATCCGGACGTTGCTTTCAAAGTTGTTTATGGTACTCCTCCCCAACACACATACACACACACACACACATATATATATATATATATATAAGATGTTCATTTGCGCACTCTGTCAATAACCATGCCGACCTGGATAAGGCAGATAACTTTTGATTTCTGCGCCCAAAAGCATTTATTTCACTCACTCCAACTTTCCTGGCTGATTGACGGATTGAATCCGTCACTCCAAATCTGTGAGTTAGTGAAATCAATCAAATTCCAGAAGCAAGTTGACCAAAACAAATTCTTACCCATAATAATTGACAGTGTGGCTAGCTGTGAGTTCGAAGAGTGCCAAGCCTCGTGAGATTCTCTAGCCTATTTTAATCGGGTTTGGTGAATTTAATGTCCTTGATCTTTATGAAATGGTCTAAGTGGGAGACAGAGGGGTCATACCAATTGACTACCAATTTGTGTTCACAGATGGTTGATAGTTTTCTTCCGGTTAGTCCTATACATTGTGTTGAGTAGTCCTTGCAATTCATTCTATAGAAAATACTGTCCTTGTCGGTACCCATTGGTTTCAAAAGATCTCGTGTCTCGATTTCGTCGTGTGTTCTGCTGAATCAGCGCGCTTACAAACTTTGTAGAACGATTTTGGTATTGGTTATTAGTGAATCTTTATTTGGAGTGTTTTACACGTTAAAACTACAGAATACTGTTCGCAATCTATTTCAAAATATCGCGAGGGGAAAAGGTTGTATTGCTCCAATTTTTGGTGCTTTCATGTCGCCTTTCCTTCAGATTGCTTGCGGGCCTCAATTTTTAACTTCGCTCTGTCACTATAGGCCTAATCTCTGATTGAGATACGATACCCCATGTCCATTTGAGCAATTTTTCAAGGGTTATTTCCTACGGGATAAATAATTCGATTGTCCGAGCTGCTTCCCTCACGAGTTTAATACAACTTTCCATTAACTGAGTGAATTTGTGCTTTCATCCTAGTATTTTCAATGATTTGTTTATAAATTCGTCTGTTCGCATTTTATACTCTCAGTTCGCTTTCCAAAATGGTCTCCATGGTTGCTTTTGTTTCATACAGTCATAAACCATGGTGTATCACAGGTTAGATCCGTCTATGAAGATGTGAGAACGCCGTCTCTGTAGGGATCGGTGAATCCTTGTCGATTTATCGGTGGCTGACTGGGAGCAATATAGCAGCATTGAGGTATTTTTGGTTTAAATGCAATGCATTTGCCGTGCGGTGTACAGTCTTCGACATCTTACAAAACCACACCATTTAGCAATCAATTGTGTGCTTTCATCATGCTCACTAAGTTAGGCGAAACTTTTCCCACACAGTACTTTTCTCCTTCAAACTCCACCTTAGATCTGTTCCTCTTCGATATGCGAAAACTCATTTCCAGGTAGTCCCAATCCGTGATGATCACGTTTCTTTTTTGCACTATTTTCCATCACACAGACCTCACTAAGTGGGTGTAAATTAAAAACTAGCTATCATACGCCATTTTTAATTGCGCATTCATCAATGAAATGTCGGTGATGATCTTCATCAGAATCACGTGATCGTTGTCCCTTATTTGGAGTGTGGCGTGTTACAGTGCTCTTCTTATGCTCCTCATGCAGCTATGGAGGTGAGCATCATAAAGACTGATTAACTGGATCAAAACAT